GAACAGAATTTCTTTGTATATGTAATTTTTAATTCTTTACTATGATTTGAAATGTAACAACTTCTGACAATATATAAAGAATAAACTGAGATATATTAAATAAAAAAAACAATGACGCGCTATGGCCATCTGACGCATGTGCAGGTGACGAATCCCCCGCTTTAAATTGTAGTTTGAAAAAGCTTTTTCGTGATATTATTGTTAAGTTATTTCTTTCTCAAAAAATGTTAATTCGTTCTAACATTTTCTATATTTATTCGTTCGAATTTTATGAAATTATTTCATGGAACACAAAACAACCTTTTCTAAGTCTACATACCACTCGTGATGTTTAAAATTAATATTAGTAATTTTAGCAACTATAAATGGTTGTCTGCTTTTGTCCGCAACTGCATTATGTGGTAGTATGGTTAAATGCCGTGAGATATACCATATATGATTCAAATATATGCGTTAAAACGTGACTTGTCAAAAGATGTTTAAAAGTCAAGTAGAAATTTACGAAGCCTTTACAACAACATAACTATCGATTGAACAGCTGTCAACATGAATTACGTCACGCCACGTGACTAAGTTCCACTGTGTTGGTAAATCTGACTGCTACTCAATAATACGGGAAATACTTATATGTCTAAATAAATTATACTTTACATTACAATGTAGAACACATTGTTGAAAAAATAGTTATTCTAGAAAATGTGTGTACAGTACTAGTTCACGTAATATTTACACTATTTCATGCAATTCGATGCAGTGTACACCAACATTTTTTTTAATAACTGAATATTATATCAAATAATTGTAGTCTTAAATTATACATCATGCCTAAAAATAGTTCTTGTAACAATAAATAGAATACAATTAACAAACTAGTAGTCACATAGTGGTCATGAGACGTCATTCCCGTTGGTAACACTGTAACCACGGTCGAAAAGTAAATTTTAAAGGCTACAACAGCACGTGTTATAAGGACTCTTAGATTCTATAGTAAGCAAATAACACCGAATAAACGGCAAGGTAAAGACTATGTCTAATTATAGTAAATACGTACTGCGTGCGTGACTCGAACCGGCGCTCGCGTACGGCACCTAATCGCCTAGCTTCACGCCACTACACGTCTTCCCCTCGGCCACCGGGCATCCCCAAAAAATGATGCTTAATAACCGAGCTTATTACGTGCAGAGAACATGAAACCCGTCCACGCGATACGCGCCACACAGCGTGGCCAGAATATGCTCTTAGATTCTAGTGGTTTACTCCTCTTGCTAGCCTATGTTTTGGAACCTGGACAATATTATGAGGAAACAGACTACTTTAGCTCTGCATTATGTCTACTCTCGTATGTGAGATTCGTAAATTAAACGGGATTTCTTTAGTTTAAAATCAGTTTTCAAATTCTCATAGATGTGCTATCTTGTAGTATACAATCTAATCTTACGAGAGTAGTGGAGAGAGATACAACAGCCAACTACATTCGGTGTAAAAACACAATCATAGCACAATTCCCCCTCATATCATACATATTTTGGAGGTTTCCAAACGCATTAAAGTCAAATGTGAAAAAAAAGAAAGAAATGCACTTTGGCATTCTCTAAGCAATATAGATGATTTGCCAATTCACATCTACCTGTCAGTGGTTTGTCAATTGATTTACTCAAAGGGCGACTATCTGTCCCGATAACGATAGATAAACGTTCCCCGAGTTTGACGCTTTGGCAATTCAATGCCCTCAATTCACCGGGGAGCAATTAGATCGTCTATATGGGGTGGATTTTGATTGATGAATTTCATTGACTTCTTCACTTCAAATTGTCTCCAAAATATCTGTATGGACGTGCAAAATTGTCTCCTTAAGGTTCTTCGCGGTTAATAGACCGGATATACCGTTTTTCATGATTTTTCGCTGTGGTCTTGTTATGTTGTTGTTCGCATACTGACATGAAACGTATGATCACGGAACTAGTTTTAGAGTTTAAATGACTAAAAAAAAAACATGAAAATGGAAAAGTTTGGGCCATTTAACATTGGTTCGTATATGGAGAAACAATTCCGTCATATTTGAAAGTATAGTTCAGTGAAACATAGCGACAAAATAGTATGTTTAGTATACATAAGAATGATAATTCTGATTTGTACGAATTATAAAAAATATTCGTTGAACACATTCATTTTCCACTGAATAATGTCTTTCAATGAAATTTATGTAAATGTTTCCAAAAAAACCCTCACTTTTAGTAATTTGTAACCACTTTTCCTCAAAAACCACGGTTCTTACCTGGTAAAAACGCCAAAAAGGGTGGGGCATATGTCTAAATACATTTATTTTCATGGACATTTAATTTCACTAATTTGATGTTTGAACAATTTTATTCGCTTTTAAGTTCCATTCTTATAATACATGTTCAGTATTATAAAGTGAAAATTATCAGTGAAAATAACGAAATTATAAACTACTGACTCGAAGTATACCAGTTTACAGTATATAATTGGACAGGCAGCACTTTTAAACAAAATATTCTGGTAAAATGTTCAACTTATTTATTTTTCCCGCGACCTTAAGTTAAAAATCAGACTCATATCCAGAACCGTAATAGACATTTTTCATTTACGGTCTAGCTCAATTTCGGGTCATTTCAGAACGCAGGAATTCTTCAATACGATCACAGTTTTATACCGCCCTCTATTTCCTAACAAAAAAGTCAAATCGGGTTGTTTGCAAAATATCATCGCTGAGTAATGACTGTATATTGCAATATAATCAATCTATTTTTTAAACCCAAAAAATCTTTTTGCTCGTTATTTAAATAAACAATGTTACACAGTAACAAAGTAGTGAATACTTTTAAATAATATTAGTGTGGTAGTTACGAACTTGCCTTATGTGTACTCGCGTGTATAATGTTATTAGGTGCTGCTCTTTGCTTGGAGTCGGCTAAACATAGTGCCATGCACCCTTCTTCCAACTAAGAACAATAAAATGGCCAAGGGTAATTAAAGTGTAAGAGAAACTCATTTGGTTCAATGGTTATTTCAGTTTAGTGGGATAAACAAGGCAGGATGAAATGTACCCCATTGGTCTCTCTATCGGCATGGTCAGATGGGAATGTAGTTTTAGACAGGAGACATTGCATTATGCACATTCTGTATATAGATAAAGTATTACTAGAAGTTTCGGGTCTGATTCGACAACAAATATCGAACGTGACGTAGTTCTTTGGCTTCACCAGTCGTCGACGGACGATCGATCGGTCTGGGTCACGTGTCCATACCAAGTGAGCACCCGCGAAGGAGTTTACGTCACACCATCTATTTGAAAATATTAGACGTCTTCTACACTACTTCAACTACAGCTATTCAGCAAAACGAGAAAAATTGTAATTTAACATCATATGTTTTTTCCGGTACGAATTTGGCGAAACTGTGCACGATATTTTGGCACTGTCGAATTATTTATTATAATTATGTTCAATACTGAAAGCGTCTTATGCGTAAATCACCATGGAAATGCACCTGGGCGATAATTATTGTAACATTGTGACAAATGGTTTTGTTCACTTGCTTGAAAATACGTCAGCATTTTGAGTTGCCGTGTCGCACCCCGTCATTCTATCTATCCGGTGAACTTGTCTTTTAGGTCAAGTACATGTATTCCGTTTATATTTCACCATTCCGTTTATAAATCGCCGCAGCATTCATATCGATGAATATGTTCGTCAAAACATACTGGATTCCTTGTACTTCGGAGACCATTTCTAACATTTCGTATATAAGACGGTTGCATTGCGGAAAAATGAACTGTCATTTAGTAGGAAAACTACCTTCCAAAGACTATCAGCGATAACACTACTGGGGAATTATTTATTTTCAAGTTTATATCCGATATATACAGAGTTAAGGCACATGAGTTCTTGCGTGAGGCGTGGTCAGCAGGAACGGGACTGGGAACATGTTTTTATTTCACCTCCGTACTGTGTACGACTGGGTGCACTATGCTAAGTAACTACCTTTCATACTGGGAGCATGGGTGGGAACCGTTCTCTACAACAATAAAGAACTTTCCATTTCAAAAGACTCACGCGCCATGACCGTACTAGAAATTTGAATGACAAAAACTTACGAACGTCGGCCGATAATGGAATCTTGGGTGTAGCCGTGTTTTCGTTGTTTCTCTCGCAGCCTCAACAAGATGAATACACGTCTTTATACTTTAGAAAAGCGTTGAATACCATCTTCTCTAGAAAATTGTGTCTTATTCTCAGGTGTCTGGGAAAATTTTCTATCGCCGGAGAGACTATTTTCTGTGACAATGCGGCTGATCTGCGTTGCCCTTCTAATCACCGTCTGCGCCGAATACGTATTGTCAGGTAGGTAAGAGGGGAACACCTAGTTTACAAAATGTGCTTCGTTTATATCTTTGAAAGGCAGCATTTTTGTGAATATATAACAATCGAGTGTAGTTACAATAGCAATTGTCACATGGATAGCGTATGTGTCTGCTTGGAATTGGGCTTCTAAGTGTCTACCGTCATGAAGGTCTCCTTCTCTGTTCAATATGGCGGGTGTAAACTAGTTTAAGGGGAACTGATATTGGGGTGTGCGGGGCGCAGTTGTTGCGAAAACTAGCTTGTTGAGTTTCGCGATGTCTTGTGGTATATTCGAGTGAGTGTGTCTTATATGCCGGGTATATGCCTTCATATAGTGTAAATTGGTTGAATATGCGGCTGTGAATATACGTAGCTTATTTCAGTATCTGTATTTAATGTTCGTTATATATCCAAGCCTCACTGTAACTCTACTTAAGTAATAGAACCCAAAAAGCACGACGTATGGTGACTGTAACCCCATAGTGTATCGCACTATACTGCGAATAACAAAATTAACGATGACATCACTTGACCTGAAACACGGAAAATAATGACTTTGTTTTCACCGGCGCGTGCATTCATAATTGTATCTTCAAAGCAAGTTGTTCATATATAAGATCAACAGTACGGCGAGAGGCACCAAGTGAGTATCACGACCCACACAGGGCTCCCTGGAGAGATACCCATATTAAATCAAACTAATACTCTATAGAATTTGAAAACCTGCGTGTCACTATGTCTGTCAATTACATCGTAAAGACATTAATGCCAACTGTCAGAAACATAGCCCTTAAGTGTCATGCCTCATACTTCAAAGAACCACATTTGTCGTGCCACGTCACGTATTCAATGTGCGTCCCAGGTCATAAAAATCTATATTTTTTTACGATTTCACGCGAAATCACCATTCTGCACGCCCGACCACAGCAATGAAGCGTCATTACATCACAAAGTCGTTGAAAATTTTTAAATTTACAACAAATATACAATGGAATGGACATTTGTGACGCTGGCGTTCCGACGTAAGTAATTAATTTGGTTCAAGTTGAAATTTTCCCACGGAATACATCGCTTAGATACTTGGCTCACACTTCGACTATGTACAAAGATGTTTGTAGAGGGTATATACTAGACTGGCGAAGTCGGGTGATTAATTTGTTTTTGTAGTTTAAATGAAATAAAATAAATCGCGAAATGGACTGCCCCAGTCTAGGTACTAGTATATACTAGTATATATATATATATATATATATATATATATATATATATATATATATATATATATATATATATATATATATATATTAACATTTCTTGAAGTTAAGTACAAATACACTAGATAATACTTGTGAGTTTATGACACACTAAAATGAAAGTCAATCGCCTCCACTGTTCCACAGACCTGTGTAACCAAAGTTCAGTGGAACGGTGGTCAAAACAATTCTCGTTCCACACTCGCTTTAACGCGATCTCGGCGGCCATGCGACCAAGCTATATTACATACCGTTCATTTTGTTTTTTATCATAGATTGCAGCCATCCTGGCGAAATAGATGGCGGTATTTCGAATCCAAACTCTACCGATGCTCCGAATATCGGCAACTGGCAAACCGTGCAGTATGAATGTGATACCGGCTACTCGATGGTTGGTTCTAATTTCTTAATGTGCGCGAATAATGCTTGGACTGCAAATGCGCCTCAGTGCAAAGGTAAGTATAGTTAAAGATGCAATATAGATGAGAAATTTGAAACTTCTGTTTGATGCTGCATTTTGATGAATATAGTACATTGGAT